CAGGACTCCCCCCACGAAAGGCTTCTTGCTGCAGGCGGCTGCCATGAGGGCGGTGAAGACCAGGAGGATCTTCATGGTGAGCGGACGCAGATGAGCTTCAGCCCTCGAGGGCATATATAGTCCCCCCTCTAGACTGCTCTGGGGGCACTCGTGGGACCTTCTCACCAAGGCCACATCTGCTGTCCCCAACAGAGCCGGCAGTGACAAACGGATTGAGCCAGGAACAGCTCCGGGGAGCCCAAATGTTCGTTTGAGTTGGCAAAGTCAACAAAAGAGCAGCCAAATTAGGGAGGATCCGATAACGTCGGGTCCTGCCGTGGGCGGCCGGGCAGGATGCGTGCCCACACACCCAGCTTAGTGCGAGTAGGTGTCGTGGTCACAGTCACCACCCAACCCACAGGCAGTGGCAACAGTGGGGTCACAGGACCCCGGAGCACACAAGGACACGGCGCTTTGTTTCCAGGAATTTCTTTATTACAGGTGACCGAGTAAGTCAAGAATAAATATGATTAGTAAAGCATGTGTATATTACAAGTTACTACAAAATTACTAGCAGAAAAGCAAACATATCTTTATGATTAATTACTTATACACACATCTATATATATATTTAAAAAATCAAAGTATATCAAATTATTACCGTTCATCAAACCACTCCCAGGAGTGGGGACAGTTGACGATGGATGAAGCGTCATTTCAAAGACAACGGGCATGACGGAGCCCGGCGTCCCTGGCGAGGGTCCGAGGGGTCACACAGGGACGTTCACCTTGGGGTGATGCTCGGAGAGAGAGAAAAAAAGTGTCTTGTTTTGGGGTAGAAAGAGAAAGAGCAGCTCGTTTTTGGGTAGAAAGCGAGTTATTTTTCATGTGTTTAGTGTAGATACTCGAGTGGGCGCAGGGCAGCAGCTCCTGGAGCGGCCGTTGCTGACTTCTGCTGTCTGAGGAGGTCAGTTTGTCATAGTGGTGTCTTTGTTCCGCAGGTTATAGCAGCGTCTTTGTTCCCCAGGTTACAGCAGTGTCTTTGTTGTGTGTTTATCTACGACGGCCCCAAGCTCCCGCCCGCGCCCATCAAGGATGCTCCGAGTTCCCGGGCTGAGTTCCCAGGCTGGCAGACACCACCTCGGTCGGTTTTTTAGCAGACATCTGTTGATGTTTTTTTCCCCATTAAAACCAGCTTGTCCCTCTGGTTGCACCATGGGGACAGTGCCATGGTCACGCGTCCGTTACGGCTTCACAGTGCGGAACTGGCAATGTCAGTGAGCTGGTCCTGCCTGGTGACACCAGGGTGGAGGTCCTCACTGGGGGCAGAATCACAAGCAGAGGTAGGAAGGGACTGCAGGAGGTCTGTGACCTTCTGGACAAAGCAAGGTCAGCTCTAGGGGCAGACCAGGTCCCTCCGCGGTGGGTCTTGGAGGCTTCCAAGGATGGAGGCTGCCCAGCCCCTCTGGGCCACGTGTCCCACTGCTGGACCATCCTCCTGGTGGAAAAGCATTTTCTGGTGTCCAGCCTGGTTCTCTCTTGCTTCAGCTGATGCTGTCATCTCCCCCATCATGCTTTGTGGTGAAGAGCTTGGCTCTGTTTTCTCCATAACCTCTTCGTAGGGACGGGAAGGTCCCTGTTAGGTCCCCCCACCCCAAAGATGTCTCATCTCCAAGCCAAATCTCCCTCGGTATCTCATGGGGCACATCTTCCTCTTCCTCTTGGTGGCCTCCATGGGTCTTGCTCCAGGTCTCTTTGGTGCCAGGGATCCAAAAACTGGATGCAGCTGTCCTCTAGCCAGGCACTATAGAAGAAGAGGGGCCAGGTGGCCTCAAGATGGTTGGAATGAGCTTCAAAGCCGGGGCGAAGCCACAGGTCTACAACCCCGGCTGAGGTTCCTCAGGCTCCACAGCTCCTGCCCACAAGGTCCACATACTGGTGGCAGCAGGTTGGTCAAGTCCAAGAGCCAACCATGTGTCCTGGGCGTGTTTTTATCGCCAGCTGGAGGACTCCTCCCTGGAGGTGTTCAAGGCCAGGCTGGATGAGGCTTTGGGCAACCTGGGCTAGTGGGAGGTGTCCCTGCCCATGGCAGGGGGTTGGAACTCAATGATCTGGAAGGTCCTTTCGAACCCAAACTACTCTGTGATTCTATGATTTTGGTGGGTCACTTTGGGAAGCAGGTGCCACTGCCCAGGGCCATGAGCAGAGGGGATGGGGACACATGTGGGGAGCACCGGCTGCCCCACGCTCAAGTTTTCTTTCCAAAACAGCTCCACTTAACCCAAAAATAAACCCATGCGGTACCTCCCCATGCCTCACCTTCACCTTTACCTTTTTTTTCCTGCCAACTCATGTCCTTTGAGTCTGAACTAACACTTTACCCACTACATCAGGTGTGTTTGCTCTCCTGTCAAGCTCAGGAGGAGTGAGTAACTCACCAGCTGCTGGGGGGATCACAGGACATCGAGATAAACCTGTTAGACTCCATAATCGCTGCAACAGCAGCAGGGATTGCTAATCACTGATCCTTCAGTGGCCCCGTGCATGGCCCTGAGCTCTTTGCTCTTAATCCCCAAGAAATTAGCAGGCTGAGCAACAGAACGAGGGAGGCAGGCTCTGGAGGGACCACAAACTGGTTTTGCTGGGTGAGAGCAGGCGTCTTCCCACCTCCATCCTCCCTCTAACCGTGCCCAGTGGGTAAATCTTGGAGAGAGAAAAGGGGCAGGACAAATATATGGGGAGATTAGGCCAGGAGACCCCATCTTCTGCCAGCAGTCGGTGGCCTGGCTCATTAAAGGAAATTAAATTCCTTTAATTAGTCTCACAGCCTGGATTATGCTGCTTAACATCAGGCCCCAGCACGAGCCCATCCTGCCTCGAAGGGAACTCTGCTGCAGGCCCCAAGTTTAGAAGAGGAGCAACACAGAGTTGTTTTGCACAAAAAAAAAAAAAAAAAAAAAAAAAAATTCTTCCCTGTCCTCTCTGAACAGCCACTGGACACTACCCGAGCAGATAATACTCATGTAAATTCCCCCAGCCATAGTTACACTGCAGTTGTAATTAACTTTCTAGACTATCTAGTTCATCATTCAAGTGTTTCAGCAGCTCTGAAAAGTTCACACCAACTTTCAATCCACAAATTCCAAAAATACTTCAGAAAACCTGCACCCTCACCACCGTGGAGCCCGTTTCTGCACGGGTGACAAGGTGGGTTGTGAGGAGGGGGTTACTGGGAGGTTTGCAGGATTTCAACATGCTGCTAAGAGCTAGCGTTGCTCGGAGCAAATATATTTTGTGTTTACTAAGAGATGGAGCTGCAGAGGGCATGAGGCAGGACGGTTTGCAGCAGTCAGGAGCTAGGGGACAAGCATCTCCTCCTTTCCCAGCACATCTTTCTGCTCTTACATTTAATTTCCCCTTGGCCTCCGTGCTGAAGCAAGTCCCTCAGCTGAATTCTGGTTTATCCAGGTGGGAAAAAGCCCGCTCTCCTCATCTCACCGGAGGTCACTCCGACATCTCAACAGCCACACAAGCTTCCATCCTCCTCTTGTCACTGTTCCTACTGCATCTCATCGAGGTGGACCACAACTGGGTCCTAAAAACCTCCCAAGGGATGCAGTGAACAAGACAAGGATGAAACATCTTTTATACGCAGACGGGTATTGCTGGAGGAGGAATGCACACAGGGTTTTTATTCAGCCAGGTGCTGCCTCGAGAACAGCAAAGGAAGAAGATTTTATGAGCTTGCTGCTACCGACAGCTGATTCCCACCCCAGCATTTAGTACGGGTGGTCTCGTACGTGCTCCATGATTTTTTTCAGACCCAGCCAGGTCTCCTCTGCAGTCGGGATAATTTGGTTGGCTGGCAGGAGGAAACCGTAGCGACCCGTGTCTCGCAGCTCGAAGGCAAAAGAGTATTTGATGCCGTAATCGTAGCTCCAGTCGATGCTGCCTCCGCTGGCTTGGTCTGAAAAAGGAGAAGAGCCAGAGGGGTGAAGAGAGGATTGATTTGCGTTTTTCTGTCCTGCTTTTTATATTTGTGAGGGATAAGTATTAGGTTTTTAGGTGAACACTCAGCTCTCATGTTTGACTGGTGGTGTCTCTCTACAGAAGCTTCCAAGAGGGAGAGATTTTGTATGGGGACAAATCCTGTTGCCCTGGGGCAGCCCATAAAATCTCAGACTAGGAAAATACTCACAGATCGTCGTGCAAATGCTCCCCACAGTAAAAGTGGTGCCGTACAGGGATTGAATGCAACTGGCCGCAGCTCTTCCCAAGGCATCCTGGAGAGAAGATGAAGGACGAGTTGGAAAGTAGCCACACTTGATGAGATTAAATGTTAAGATTTCACCAACCTGAACCATACTCAGGGAAATCTCCACAATCTTTCAGAAAATTTCCAACCTTTTTCACCCCCACAATAGACTAGTGCCAAATCAATCCATCTCTTAATCATTCATACTAGTGAGAGCACACACAGCTTCCACAGTATCTTTGGGAGGTGAAATTGCAGGGGAATTAAATCAGAGAAGGTTCTAGATCTGATCATTCAGTGTTTCATCTCACCGTCTTGTCAAGGGAAATTTCAAGACATACCAGAAAATCCCAAGGCAGTTGGAGATCTTCCAGTACTCAGTGGTCAGCTTTGTGCTCATTTCAACGATGTAACAGGTGGTAGTAGAGAAAAGAGAGCCAAGCTCTTCCCAGAGGTGTAAAAAAGCGGCAACAAATTGCCACAAGGGGAATTGCATTTAGGTGTTAGGGAAAAAGAAAATCCCCGTGACAGTGAGGAAACTTTGTGAAGGGCTCAAAGAAGCTGCAGGATTTGTCTTCAGACAAATCCAAATAAAAACTCAACCCTAAGCAACCTGACCTGATCTTGAAATTGGCTCTGATTCCAAAGCCTGCCTGCTTTCAGCAGAGCGTTGGGTTAGAGACCTCCAGAGGTCCTTCCCACCTGAATTTTTTTTTTGTGAGATATTATTATCAAAGATATTACAGCTGTGATGCTGTCATTAAAGCAGAAAAAAGAAACATGGATGAGCAAAGAGGGCTGAGAATGGGTGTGGATGCCATGGGTTTGCATATGACCAAAA